AATTATGGGCAGCTCCATGATATCTGAACTACGCTCCTGCAAATTTGCTGAGACAGACCAACATAATTGGAGGGAGAAGAGCCAATACTAAAAATTCCTCTAGCATGTAACCATAACTTTGAACTTTATACCAAACAGTATTCAAACGGAAATGGAAAATCGTTATACTGTTCAAGAGTGATGAACAAATAAATTTGTTTTGTTTCATTTATTTGTTACAAACTTTGTATACAGTTTTGTAATGTAAAATGGTGATAGGTTTGCTCTGTGAGAGAGCTTGCAAGCCAGGCTCAACTCAATAAAATACCACAAAATATCCTCCTAATTTTAGTTTCCAGTATGGTACATTACCTCCATTCACATAAATAGCTGTTCTCGTTCACTGCTGCCCTCTATATGCAAAAACAATTACGCATGCCACAAGCCTTCCCCCTCCATTGGAATTGACTGATTCCAGTGCGTCTCTCCTGCAAAGCAAATCATCATACGTCAACCCTTCACCAATAAGCTTCAGTTTGCTTACGGTTTTTTTCCTTTCACATTACGAATTTTTGTGAGGAAAGAATAACTACTAAGTGAAAATTTATTTCTACTGCATCTTCCATCTGTTACTATGCCTTCAAGTAATCTCATGGGTAAGGTACTGTTCTTTTTCCCAGAAGATCTGTAGAAATGTTTTCAGCATGTATTCCTCACTCCCAGTAGGTATACTCATGTTTAGCGAGTTTATGTGAGCTTGTGTGGATTGACCTAATTTCCTTATGCAATAATTTAAGGTCTTTCATGTCTTTTTTTGCTCAGTATTTGGTAAGTTAGGTTTTTATAATTCTTTTACCATCTAAGTTACTTTAGTTTAAATTTAGTTTAGAGTTTGATTATTACTTTGTTTTTGTTTAATTTTCGGTATATGTACAGGCCTTGCATGATATTTAACGTTTGGGTAATTATAACTTTGGCTAATTTTGTGGGTGTGTTGGTTTGTTATTTTTACTTCCTTCCACTGTTTATATTAGTTAGTTTGTAAGTTCCTTTTTCTTTACTACTAGTCACAACTAATAGGGGACTAGGTTTGAATTTTTTTTAAATATTAACTGGATACCTTTTCATTTTCATGTTCTTCAGAGGAGGTTTTACTTTTTTTGTCTTATTGGCTCTTTGAATGTACTTTTCAGTTTGATATTTACGTTTCTTTTATCTTCTAAGTTCCATTTCTGTTTTTTTACTTTAGGTGTTGCTTATTGTTTTAGGTCAAATTTCATAGTTTTGCAAATTCTATATTTTTATGTAATTTGTAGACTCAA